GCAAATATTTTAAGTTAAAGACGTTTGAAACATATAAACAAATAAGAATTCGACAAAATAAACTAATAATATGTAATAAATGCATCCAAACCACTTACATTAGTAGTGGAGTTATTAGTTTATTTTAATTTTTATAAGCCATTACGTTCTATTAAACTGTATTTGATGGACGCAGTACAAGAAAAAATAGATGTTTTATACGTCTTTTATTACGAAAGGGAAATAAAATTTTTATTTATTGTTGTATTTTTATAGGGCATATCTTATTGTATAATTTCTTTAATCTAATGAACAATTTTCATGATAAAAATGTTGCTTAGTTTACTACAGCCAGTGAAGAGAGGGGTTCAAATATTTGCTGAGTTTATATTTAAATCACGCTCGGTGGCAAAGTGGTTTGAAAAACGACTGCGACCTTTGCGGCCTTTTATGTAAACATGAGCAATAACAATACAGCTCGTGGTGCATAAATATGAGTTTCTTTCCCTAGAAATATGTCAAGTGTTTGTCACGTAAAGGCAGTCTTTTATATTTGAGGTTGGGCTTTTTCATATAAACTTATTTGGCATGTTTTCTAGATGGATAAAGAATCAAAACATGCTATGTTTTTTATTGCATTCACTTATAATCTTATAATACCCAATCATAGGAAATGGCAGTGAAAATGTTGACGAAGCAAAGTTTCAGCAAATAGGTTAATTCCTTTTCAAAGATTTCAAAATTAAATTTACATTTAATTAACGGTTGGTTAACTTATTTTAACGTAATGAGTGCTATTGTTTGCTTCTAGGACAAACAGTTTCTTTTCATACAAATATAACAAATAAACGTAATTGTGTTACCACACTAAATTAATCATCGTATCAATCAACCAATCATTAATCAATCAATCAATTTGTACGTATTCATCCGTTCTCCCAAAATGAATTAGGCCTATGCTTAACACTAAGCTTAGAACTTATATTTATTCTTTATCCTTTATTTTACATCAAAAAGTGATATCATTAGGTCGTATTTTGTCCAACCAAATAAAATATCATGTGATATATTTTCTCAAAAAAGTTTCTAAAAAGTGGAGCTTAAATTATCTAAGTACTAATACCCTATGGTCTGTTTGAAAAATGTGTATTCCTTTCTTAGTAAACTGGTATTAAAAAAAAACTTTATAAAACTCTAAAACAAATAATATTATTGAGTTAGTAAAATAGTATTGTAATAGTAATAGTAATAGTATTGTAATTCAATCAGCTGATGAAATCAAGAATATACTTCATCATGATAAATAAATATAATTAATGAAAATGCTGCAAATAGTGGCCTAGCGTTTAGATCATTACACCACTTATATAAATCAAATGACAATAAAAATACAAAAACGAGAATTATCTCAAATTTCTGTCCGTATGTATGTCTTTAATTGTGTCTGTGTCACCAAAATGTAAGATAACGCTGTATACGCAGAGAAAACTAGAGTACTGACCAAGATTTAAACTTTTTTTTTGTATCCACTGGATTAGTGAGGACGTCTATTAAAATGACCAACTAATTTGGAAATAAAACAGGAAACGTTCAAAAAATCTGTTTTTGTGATTTTTCTATCATTTTACGAGTGATTGTGGAATATGCTGTACTTTTGTTCTGATCCGGATAAAAGTCCGTGAATTGGACAAAATAATTTGCATGGGATCGAGATATTAAGAAGATGGAAAGATCAAAACATGAAAGCATCTCCAGACTGAGGTTTAATATGTAATAGGCAGGTGATAGAAGAGAATGGAGGCGAACTATTGGTGAGGCTAAACCCTCTTAAGGTTTCAGGTGCCACATAGGTAAAAAAGGCAAGTGTATGCAATTGAAGGTAATGGCTACTTATGACCAGTGTGTAAATAATCTTCCAAATAAACAACAGGTAAAAAAACTTTTGATATATATATTTTGTGAAAAACCCTTGCATAATATTTCAACTATGTTTTTAATTTTGAATACAGTTTTAACTGAGTTTTTAGTGAGTCGGTAGCGTCGTGGACTTCGGGCCCAAAGGCAGCGATGTCGTGGGTTCGGATCCTGGTCACTGACACTAAAATTTATCAGTACAGTTCACCTTCGTACTGTACCGGCTCACTCCTTGCTTTGCTGTAAACGTTCCATGCACGGGCGGTTAGTCTATGTGGACGGTCAAAATGCTTAGGTCGATTGTGTGATACCAAAAGCAAGCATATTCTAACTGTTATTCAACTATAGTCTGACTTTAAACTATAATTCAATTCTAAATCTACCTTAGGTAAACATTATGTATACAATATTAAAGTATTTTCTAATAGCCATAAAACACATAACTAATTACTGCTGTTAGCTGCCAAACTAATATCTTCATATAAATTGGTGTGGTACCGTTGATAAATAAAAATAAATAAATAAATACTTTTTCTGTTACAATCATGTTTTGGAAACGAATTTTCACAACACAGATCGATCGACATAAAAAGTAATGTCAGCTGCTTTACCACCGCCATTTATGATTTTATATTGTCCTATAGGCCTAAATAACGTAGCTCGTTAATTGTGAATAAAATACAGACACATATCCGATTTGCGGCTTACATTTATCAATTGAATATGTATTTACAATATTTATTAAATACACATAAGTATTAATTATTGATATCCGATTGGTTGAGTCCCGAGCAATCTCTTGTTCTAGGAATCTGGGCTGTAGAGTGAGTATAAAAACTAATTTGTTGTATAATTTATTATTGGTGGAATAATAACGTAATGTAGAAGATTTAGCAAATGAATTACAAAAAAAATTACAAAATACAAGGTAAAACATGAATTACTAAACACTCCCTTCAGTTACTACAGTAATTTGATGTTTTGCTTGTATATATTTGGCACATATAAAACCATACAAACCTTCGTTAAATGGGACTTAAAAGCACAACTCTTTATGACAGTTTTATCACTGTTTATTTACAATGATAGCGATATGATAAAATAATTACTTGTGTTTATAGTTAAGGCAAACTGTAAGCTAAGGCCTGTACATGACGAAGGAAAGTTCTCTCGACAAACAAACTAGATATACAGGGTGGAACGAAGTTAGTGTTAATCATTTTTATGTGTTTAAACTATTAAGTGTTCTAGGCTAAATGGCAGCAATTCAATTTTCCATACTCTCACATGTAGGCAGTTAAAAACAAAATAAGATCTTCTCAGTATTTGCTTGGTTAAAAGGACCATAAGTGCACTGAAATTAGCTTTTATTTCAACGCCATTGCCATTTTCAGAGTCCTCTAATCAACTTTATTATTATCAACTTTATTAATTAACTTTATTATTATGTCCAATAATAATAGTACAAAGTAGGCTAATTGAAATCAAACATTTGTATAAGCCCTGATTGTACAATAGTTTGAATTTGTGATTTGAGAAAACAGCATTAACTTGCACGAAGGATTTTTTAATTTAGTTTTTTTTAGTTAATAGGAGTTTTTCTATGCTACTCTGGAGAATAGAGAGCGTCAAATAGTATTGAAACTTAATCAATTAATAATCTTAAAATTTTATACAAAAACCAACTCCTTCTTAGATTTTTCGATTTAGATTTTGGAATCCTTGTGAAATTCTTCACAGGAATATTAGGAAACTTATAGGATTACTATCCATATAACAGTTGGTTCTTTCATAAACTGTTTAAAATGCTGTTTTTTTTATATTTTTATTAAACATATAAATATCGATTTACGTGGAGAACGAGTTAAGAACGGTGGTCATTATGGATTTTATTGACATGTTTGGACTATCTATAAACGATCTATGTTTAACTAATGCTTGGTTTTCATGGCTAAAGCGAATTAACCGATGATCTAAAACGATTGTGAAGACTTTGACGTTAGCTAACTATGAACACACACCGTGCTCATGTACTGGACATTATACATAGTAGTTTAATTATACATAGTTATAGTTATACACATAGTTATGTACATATTTATACATGAGTCCATATTTTATAGGTGATGAGCACTCATTATAAGACCATTCGAGTTTAAAAGATATGTTTGTTTTAAAAACCTCACTTTTATTTGTAAACAAAGTATCAAGTAATTACAAAATACAGTTTGCAGTTAACTTATTTAGTTAATGTGTATTTGTTTACATGTTAAATCGTAATGTTAAACGCAAGAAAATATTTAATATAAGTTAGTTATAATTGTAGTTAAATAAAATGATCAAAACAAGCGATTTTTACAAAAATTTGTTAGTGCAACACAAACAATTTTATAATTATTTATATGTATATAGTTTTATTGTATCAACAACACTTACATTTTTATATTTGTGTTTTTTCTGCTGTAAAGTTTTTTCGTTACCAATAATTTTAAAGTATTTAGTAAAATAATTTATTTCAAATTATTTAATAAATGGACATCTCTATTAACAAATAACGTAAACTTAAGATGTCTAATTATCACACTTGATATTGATCGGTCTTAAATGTATTTATAATATTTTATTAAACTCTATTTATGAATGTACGATACCTATAAAAAAAGTTTGCAAGTCTTAACTAAATAGATCAAATACGTATCAAACGAAGCAAAATACTATGTTTTTCAGTTTGTTCCGTTAATTCACTACCATTATTTCTCTAATTGAAATTGTGATATTTTTAATAGTAAGCCTAGTGTGTGAATATATCAATTAAAAAAATAATCTATTCTAAACTAACTTAACTAACCATACTTGCTGATTATGACAAAATTGTAGTAGTGAATAAACGGAATAGCAATAAAAAATAATATTAGAATATTTAAATTTCTATACAAATAAAATGTATGAAGAACTTCGAAGTTATGGACAACTTTAAATGAAAACATACACAAGAACTCAGCACTTTATCTATTATATTCGTATCATAAAAAATTTTATTTAATGATATTCTGTTAGCTTTTCTGCAGAATAATATATAATTTATATGCTTCAAATTTATAAAATACCTTGACACATTACGGAGACTATATGAAGCAACGCTAGTAGCAAGTAGATTGTAGAACTAGTCATATTTATGAAGATTAGAGAAGACATGATACACTCACTTTCACATAAAACCTACAGTAAAACACGTGTTTTAAAACGGAAAAAAGTTAACTGTGTTCGATGTCAACACTACGGCGCACGGCGCAATACTGGCCAAAGCAAGCCTGTACTGTCATGTCAGTGCTGCCAACGTAAATCATTCCAAAAAACAAATTTCCCTAGATTCCCACCTGAGCGCAGGATCATGATACACTTTGATTGTGGTCTCCGAGTGAAAAACTTTTTAGAGTCCTACGTGTAATTAATTATTTACAACAAAATATCTTAATCCCTGCAAATAGTTTCGACTATTACAACCATGTTAATTATATTGCAAATCGAACGTTTTGTATACCCCCCCCCCCACAATTTATTTGGTTTTTCTAGTTCAACATATTCTAATTGTACTTCGTTTTTATTAAAAAAAATTACTAGCTTTTCTTATACCAAGGATATAATTTACTCACCATTGTATTTGGAGAACACCTACATTAAATTAAATTACGATAGAGTATATTGTTTATAACTTATCGATACAACAGAGGATTGTTTATTAAGTCATAATTTTATCTAAAAAACATTTTATGTGTAGTAAGCTAGTAAATACCTTCCCTGATTAACAGTTGAAAGCTTTTAGATCTATACTAGCCGGCCCGACCGACGTAGTCCTGTCCTAATGTGGATTTATTTCAAATGCTCGTTCATATTCAAGATGAGCTCGTTCGTATCACTCAATCACGTCCTGGATGAAGTTCGTTCGCTACGCTCATTCACCTTCTCGTTGGAGCTCGTTTACTTTGCTCACTTACCTTTAGATTTAGCTCTTTCGCTACGCTCACTTGCCTCCAAGTTGAAGTGAGTGAGCTAATGAAAAGCCACTTTTTTGGAATTTTAAAAATCAAATTACTAAATAACGGTTGGATGGATTCTAAATTTCACTCCTTATTCACACACTATCAAAAATTATTTATCAAATTAAAAACATAAACATAACTGTAAACAATCCTACTTTGACAGTTCTAATTTTGTATCACAGCTGCTTGGTTGAAATTCGCAACTGTTGTCATAAATTTAGACAATTAATAGTGCTAAGCACTGTTGGTACATTTTGTAACATTTTAATGCTATTGATCATCACAGAATCAAATTGTTTAGTTGAAACAGCTGTTAAGATTATTTAATTCAATTTAAATACGAGTACTCATTAGGTTGACATGGAAAACTCCAGAGCCACTGGGGCGGAGCCCTTTTGATGAATCTGCACCAAACCTCACACAAACCATCCTTGAATAATGCTTAATAATGCCTGAAAGTTTAATTACAATCTGTAGAGTAGTTTCAGAGTCCATAACGTTCAAATATACAAACTTCCTTTTTATAAATATAGATAAACAACCCTAAAAATACATTAACTCTACTAAAATTTTAAATAGTTATACGGTTGCACTATTTCAGAATGGTAGTAGAATGGTTTTGATACGAAAGTAGTATTTGATTATATAGTCGATTATTGTGATATTTATTTTATAGTAGGACAAATAATCTCTATACACATTGTTTTAAAATATAAAATGATATGCAGTGCTGTAGGGGTTCTATATTTGCACTACAAGACTGCTTGAAGTATGCGGTAAAAAAAAAAAAATTAACTCTATGCTGTAGATGGTCAAATACGTCTTTTTATTAGTTTATAGGCCTTGGTTTAAACCCTTTTTTATGTCCTAATACAGCAAATTGGGCAGTGCAATAGCCGTTGGTTAATGCCCTAACGTAGATCCTGCTTAAGCTTCTGTACCATTAATACTAGTTTGGCGTTGTAACGCGACAGCCAAAATTGGCCAGGAAATAAATAGACGGCTATTTGTTCACCCAAGAAGACAAGTGTGGTACACGTCTACATAAACTGCATCTTTTGTCAATTACACGATTTATTTAGTCATTAGCCTGAAAACCCGTAATTTAAACTAAGTGGTTTTACATCACCTTTTATCAGTTCCAAATAATAACCTTGGTCAAAGTGTTACATATATTGGCAAGTTGCCATTGCCAAACACTTCTTTACATGAATATACATGAACTCCGATTGGATAGGTTCGTTTTCAATACATGTCATATACATTTAATACACGACACGAACGACATATGGATAAACGTTTAGTTCTATTTATAGTTATAAGAAGTTTTAGTGCTGTTCTCGTTCTGTAGCGCAATGTTTCTTACCAGTGATAGGACACCAAACTAAAAGTATTTATTTATATGTCTTGCGTGCCGTGCGTTAAATGTTTTTGTCTTGCATTGAAAACTAAGCAATTTAAGCGGAAATAATGCATATTCCTAGATTGAAGTGTTTGACAATGGCAGCTCGCCGAAACATGTTTCAATTTGATGAAGGTTACTATTTAGAACCGATAAAAGGTCATGTAAAACCAATTGGTATATATTACAGTTCTGGGGCTACAACGATGAATTTAGTTTAGACATGTAACAAATCAGTGAAAAAATGTACGTTCACCTATCGCATCTGATGAGGATTGGGCTATCCAATCAAAATTAATCATCACTTATCATCGTTTATCTATAGGCCAATTTCCCGACCTTGAGTGTGAAAAGTGCAAGTGTATTATAATCGATTTCGACTTTTATTAGATCAAATTTTAATTACTTCTCGTAAAGAACGTTGTGCTAAAAATGTTTAGTTTGTCTTTGTTTATTTGCCAGAAAAAATACAAGCCAACTGTACAACTGTTATCTTCGTAAAAATTGTTCAAAACTATGAAATGTAGAATAGCAGCTTGTTTTTGTACGATACAAATAATTAATATACCTAGTATTTTTAATTTTAACATTATGCACTGTAAAATTATATAATCGATGTCAAGATCAATTAAACGTAGAGAAATCTTATGTTTGAATCTGATATGTACAATCAGTTAAGTTTAGCAATACATATTCTTATATGTGGCGATACATTCAAATTTTTACTAGAAATTGTCACAAATAATTAATTAGTTTGACAAATTGAATTGCTAATAATCAGGCAAAGATTGTCCTTGTATATAAAACATAATATAACTACTACTGCGTTTTAATTTAATAATGTATATTTTGATGATCTCTCAAAAGGAAATTAGTTGAAATTCACCTTAGAAATAATACATTTATATTTATTTTAACAAGTACAGATTTTACAAGTACAGTTTACAAGTTATTTATTTCTCCCATAGTTATCTTATGACGAAGAAGAGGGAAATATATATAAAGAAGCGTTGAGTAGCACTTAATTGACAGTTTATTCACCTAGTCATTTAAGTACGATCAAAGATATTTCCTTCTTCTTCGTTATAAAATAATCCTGGGAGAAATAAATAACTTGTAAACTGTACTTGTAAAATCTTTACTGGGAGTAAACAGTGATCGAAAACTTCTGTCAGAAAACACATTTCGTAAACAACACTCACGGGAGCTGTTGAAACTTGTTTAACACCAATGTTTATATTTATTATTACGAAATCTCATTTGAAATGAAATGAAATGAAATGAAATGAAATGAAATGAAAAATCCTTTATTTTTTCAGGCAAAGTTAGGGCCACATGGCCCTTTCTTACACTTAACCTGACATTAAAAATATAACATAAATAATGTAACATAGGGATAACTTAATCTAATTAAACATAAAATATTTAACAATTCAAGTACCTACATATCTAAAAAAAACATAAAAATTTAACAAATAGAAAAACACATTCACACACTCTCGCATACACGCATCAGCAAACGCGCAAGGTAACAGTAGCCCTAGGACACGCCAGCCGAGACCATCTTCTCAAAATAGAGCTTTTTCAGTGCCGCCACAAACTGGGTACGTTTTTCAAGGGTCTTAATGTGTAGGGGTAGGCCGTTCCACAGACGACAAGCGGTAACAACAAAAGCCCTGCCATAAGCTGTGGTCACATGATGAGGTATACGCAATGTAATCGAAGAATAACGAGACATTCGTGAACTACCCTGAGACACAAATTTAAAATCGGATTTGAAATATTTTGGGGAGCCTGTTTTCAAAATTGAAAAAACCAATGACAAAATTTTAATGAATCTTTGATCATTTAATTTCAGGATGTGTGCCTCAAGGTAGTATGGCGTGATATGCTCCATACGTCGCAGACCATAGACAAATCTCAAACAATAATTCTGTGACCGCTGGAGCATACCCGCCTGAGTCGCAGTCAAGTCATTGATCAATGAGTTGCAGTAACTGAAGTGGGGTAGTACAAGTGATTTGATCAAATGTAGTTTAGTGTGTTGTGGTAAAAAATTCTGTAATCTTTTCAATGAATGTATGGAGGCAAAAACCTTTTTTCGTGTGTCCGTAACTGCTATGTCCCAAGTAAGTGAAGAGTTGAAAGATATACCAAGATTCTTGACATTGTCGTAGTATGGAAGTGCTTTGCCATTAACTGTGATTGGGTTTATGGAGTCTAAGTCAATTGAAGGTCGAAGTCGAGAATGGCTAATGACAATCGGTTTCGTCTTTTCGTGATTTAGTCTCAGTCCATGATTCTCAGTCCAAGTAACAATTCGGTTGACATCTTCATTGATCCTTCTGACACAGTCGTTTTCGTTGTTTGCAGTAAAATGGTCATAGATTTGTAAGTCGTCAGCGTACATGTGGTGTTTACAGTTGACCAAGGTCAAGTTTATGTCATTGACGTACAGTACGAAGAGCAGAGGCCCAAGGATTGACCCTTGAGGCACACCGCATGTAACAGTCACCCAGTCTGATCTCGTGTCACCAATCTCCACACATTGCTGCCTATCTGACAGATAAGATCTCAGCCATTTAAGAGAATTCTGGGAAAACCCTATGGCCCGTAATTTCTGAACCAGCAGGTCATGATTAACACAGTCAAATGCTTTAGAAAAATCAAATAGAGTTAGAATCGTTCCTTGTCGACGCTCCATAGCAAGTTTTATGTCTTCAGTCACTCGAAGGAGTGCTGTCTCTGTACTGTGTGCTGTCCTAAAACCAGATTGATAGTCAGATAAAATGTTGTTTTCTGTGATGAATTCAGTGATTTGACA